ATTGGTTGTCTGGGTGGTAGTGATGTGATTGGTTGTCTGGGTGGTAGTGAAGTGATTGGTTGTCTGGGTGGTAGTGATGTGATTGGTTGTCTGGGTGGTAGTGATGTGATTGGTTGTCTGGGTGGTAGTGATGTGATTGGTTGTCTGGGTGGTAGTGAAGTGATTGGTTGTCTGGGTGGTAGTGATGTGATTGGTTGTGTGGGTGGTAGTGATGTGATTGGTTGTCTGGGTGGTAGTGATGTGATTGGTTGTCTGGGTGGTAGTGAAGTGATTGGTTGTGTGGGTGGTAGTGATGTGATTGGTTGTGTGGGTGGTAGTGATGTGATTGGTTGTGTGGGTGGTAGTGAAGTGATTGGTTGTGTGGGTGGTAGTGAAGTGATTGGTTGTGTGGGTGGTAGTGATGTGATTGGTTGTCTGGGTGGTAGTGATGTGATTGGTTGTGTGGGTGGTAGTGATGTGATTGGTTGTCTGGGTGGTAGTGATATGATTGGCTGTCTGGGTGGTAGTGAAGTGATTGGTTGTCTGGGTGGTAGTGAAGTGATTGGCTGTCTGGGTGGTAGTGATGTGATTGGTTGTGTGGGTGGTAGTGAAGTGATTGGTTGTCTGGGTGGTAGTGATGTGATTGGTTGTCTGGGTGGTAGTGATGTGATTGGTTGTGTGGGTGGTAGTGATGTGATTGGTTGTCTGGGTGGTAGTGATGTGATTGGTTGTCTGAGTGGTAGTGAAGTGATTGGTTGTGTGGGTGGTAGTGATGTGATTGGTTGTGTGGGTGGTAGTGATGTGATTGGTTGTGTGGGTGGTAGTGAAGTGATTGGTTGTGTGGGTGGTAGTGAAGTGATTGGTTGTGTGGGTGGTAGTGATGTGATTGGTTGTCTGGGTGGTAGTGATGTGATTGGTTGTGTGGGTGGTAGTGATGTGATTGGTTGTCTGGGTGGTAGTGATATGATTGGCTGTCTGGGTGGTAGTGAAGTGATTGGTTGTCTGGGTGGTAGTGAAGTGATTGGCTGTCTGGGTGGTAGTGATGTGATTGGTTGTGTGGGTGGTAGTGATGTGATTGGTTGTCTGGGTGGTAGTGATGTGATTGGTTGTCTGGGTGGTAGTGATGTGATTGGTTGTCTGGGTGGTAGTGATGTGATTGGTTGTCTGGGTGGTAGTGATGTGATTGGTGGTCTGGGTGGTAGTGATGTGATTGGTTGTCTGGGTGGTAGTGATGTGATTGGTTGTCTGGGTGGTAGTGATGTGATTGGTTGTCTGGGTGGTAGTGATGTGATTGGTTGTGTGGGTGGTAGTGATGTGATTGGTTGTGTGAGTGGTAGTGAAGTGATTGGTTGTCTGGGTGGTAGTGAAGTGATTGGTTGTCTGGGTGGTAGTGATGTGATTGGTTGTGTGGGTGGTAGTGATGTGATTGGTTGTCTGGGTGGTAGTGATGTGATTGGTTGTCTGAGTGGTAGTGAAGTGATTGGTTGTGTGGGTGGTAGTGATGTGATTGGTTGTGTGGGTGGTAGTGATGTGATTGGTTGTGTGGGTGGTAGTGAAGTGATTGGTTGTGTGGGTGGTAGTGAAGTGATTGGTTGTGTGGGTGGTAGTGATGTGATTGGTTGTCTGGGTGGTAGTGATGTGATTGGTTGTGTGGGTGGTAGTGATGTGATTGGTTGTCTGGGTGGTAGTGATATGATTGGCTGTCTGGGTGGTAGTGAAGTGATTGGTTGTCTGGGTGGTAGTGAAGTGATTGGCTGTCTGGGTGGTAGTGATGTGATTGGTTGTGTGGGTGGTAGTGAAGTGATTGGTTGTGTGGGTGGTAGTGATGTGATGGTTGTCTGGGTGGTATGATGTGATTGTTGTCTGGGTGGTAGTGATGTGATTGGTTGTCTGGGTGGTAGTGATGTGATTGGTTGTCTGGGTGGTAGTGATGTGATTGGTTGTCTGGGTGGTAGTGATGTGATTGGTTGTCTGGGTGGTAGTGATGTGATTGGTTGTCTGGGTGGTAGTGATGTGATTGGTTGTCTGGGTTGGTAGTGATGTGATTGGTTGTCTGGGTGGTAGTGATGTGATTGGTTGTGTGGGTGGTAGTGATGTGATTGGTTGTGTGAGTGGTAGTGAAGTGATTGGTTGTCTGGGTGGTAGTGAAGTGATTGGTTGTGTGGGTGGTAGTGATGTGATTGGTTGTGTGAGTGGTAGTGAAGTGATTGGTTGTCTGGGTGGTAGTGATGTGATTGGCTGTCTGGGTGGTAGTGAAGTGATTGGTTGTGTGGGTGGTAGTGAAGTGATTGGTTGTCTGGGTGGTAGTGATGTGATTGGCTGTCTGGGTGGTAGTGAAGTGATTGGTTGTGTGGGTGGTAGTGATGTGATTGGTGGTCTGGGTGGTAGTGATGTGATTGGTTGTCTGGGTGGTAGTGATGTGATTGGTTGTCTGGGTGGTAGTGATGTGATTGGTTGTGTGGGTGGTAGTGATGTGATTGGCTGTCTGGGTGGTAGTGATGTGATTGGTTGTCTGGGTGGTAGTGAAGTGATTGGTTGTGTGGGTGGTAGTGATGTGATTGGTGGTCTGGGTGGTAGTGATGTGATTGGTTGTCTGGGTGGTAGTGATGTGATTGGTTGTCTGGGTGGTAGTGATGTGATTGGTTGTCTGGGTGGTAGTGATGTGATTGGTTGTCTGGGTGGTAGTGATGTGATTGGTTGTCTGGGTGGTAGTGAAGTTATTGGTTGTGTGGGTGGTAGTGATGTGATTGGTTGTCTGGGTGGTAGTGATGTGATTGGTTGTGTGGGTGGTAGTGATGTGATTGGTTGTCTGGGTGGTAGTGATGTGATTGGTTGTCTGGGTGGTAGTGAAGTGATTGGTTGTGTGGGTGGTAGTGATGTGATTGGTTGTCTGGGTGGTAGTGATGTGATTGGTTGTCTGGGTGGTAGTGATGTGATTGGTTGTCTGGGTGGTAGTGATGTGATTGGTTGTCTGGGTGGTAGTGAAGTGATTGGTTGTCTGGGTGGTAGTGATGTGATTGGTTGTCTGGGTGGTAGTGATGTGATTGGTTGTCTGGGTGGTAGTGATGTGATTGGTTGTCTGGGTGGTAGTGAAGTGATTGGTTGTCTGGGTGGTAGTGATGTGATTGGTTGTGTGGGTGGTAGTGATGTGATTGGTTGTCTGGGTGGTAGTGATGTGATTGGTTGTCTGGGTGGTAGTGAAGTGATTGGTTGTGTGGGTGGTAGTGATGTGATTGGTTGTGTGGGTGGTAGTGATGTGATTGGTTGTGTGGGTGGTAGTGAAGTGATTGGTTGTGTGGGTGGTAGTGAAGTGATTGGTTGTGTGGGTGGTAGTGATGTGATTGGTTGTCTGGGTGGTAGTGATGTGATTGGTTGTGTGGGTGGTAGTGATGTGATTGGTTGTCTGGGTGGTAGTGATATGATTGGCTGTCTGGGTGGTAGTGAAGTGATTGGTTGTCTGGGTGGTAGTGAAGTGATTGGCTGTCTGGGTGGTAGTGATGTGATTGGTTGTGTGGGTGGTAGTGAAGTGATTGGTTGTGTGGGTGGTAGTGATGTGATTGGTTGTCTGGGTGGTAGTGATGTGATTGGTTGTCTGGGTGGTAGTGATGTGATTGGTTGTCTGGGTGGTAGTGATGTGATTGGTTGTCTGGGTGGTAGTGATGTGATTGGTTGTGTGGGTGGTAGTGATGTGATTGGTTGTGTGGGTGGTAGTGATGTGATTGGTTGTGTGGGTGGTAGTGATGTGATTGGTTGTGTGGGTGGTAGTGATGTGATTGGTTGTCTGGGTGGTAGTGATGTGATTGGTTGTCTGGGTGGTAGTGATGTGATTGGTTGTCTGGGTGGTAGTGATGTGATTGGTTGTCTGGGTGGTAGTGATGTGATTGTTTGTGTGGGTGGTAGTGATGTGATTGGTTGTGTGAGTGGTAGTGAAGTGATTGGTTGTCTGGGTGGTAGTGAAGTGATTGGTTGTGTGGGTGGTAGTGATGTGATTGGTTGTGTGAGTGGTAGTGAAGTGATTGGTTGTCTGGGTGGTAGTGATGTGATTGGCTGTCTGGGTGGTAGTGAAGTGATTGGTTGTGTGGGTGGTAGTGAAGTGATTGGTTGTCTGGGTGGTAGTGATGTGATTGGCTGTCTGGGTGGTAGTGAAGTGATTGGTTGTGTGGGTGGTAGTGAAGTGATTGGTTGTCTGGGTGGTAGTGATGTGATTGGTTGTGTGAGTGGTAGTGAAGTGATTGGTTGTGTGGGTGGTAGTGATGTGATTGGTTGTCTGGGTGGTAGTGATGTGATTGGTTGTGTGGGTGGTAGTGATGTGATTGGTTGTCTGGGTGGTAGTGATGTGATTGGTTGTCTGGGTGGTAGTGATGTGATTGGTTGTGTGGGTGGTAGTGATGTGATTGGTTGTCTGGGTGGTAGTGATGTGATTGGTTGTCTGGGTGGTAGTGATGTGATTGGTTGTCTGGGTGGTAGTGATGTGATTGGTTGTCTGGGTGGTAGTGATGTGATTGGTTGTGTGGGTGGTAGTGATGTGATTGGTTGTGTGGGTGGTAGTGATGTGATTGGTTGTCTGGGTGGTAGTGATGTGATTGGTTGTGTGGGTGGTAGTGATGTGATTGGTTGTGTGAGTGGTAGTGATGTGATTGGTTGTGTGAGTGGTAGTGAAGTGATTGGTTGTGTGGGTGGTAGTGATGTGATTGGTTGTGTGAGTGGTAGTGAAGTGATTGGTTGTCTGGGTGGTAGTGATGTGATTGGCTGTCTGGGTGGTAGTGAAGTGATTGGTTGTGTGGGTGGTAGTGAAGTGATTGGTTGTCTGGGTGGTAGTGATGTGATTGGTTGTCTGGGTGGTAGTGATGTGATTGGTTGTCTGGGTGGTAGTGATGTGATTGGTTGTCTGGGTGGTAGTGATGTGATTGGTTGTTTGGGTGGTAGTGATGTGATTGGTTGTGTGGGTGGTAGTGATGTGATTGGTTGTCTGGGTGGTAGTGAGCTCGTTGGTGATTGGCCGGTGTGGCTGGGTGACCCAGGTGCGTGACGCTGACCCCACGGACGCCAGGAGGAGCCGCGTGGTCGCGCTCCGGGACGAGTTCCGGGTCACCGGGGTCAACGGCACACGTATCCTCGGGGTCACGGAGTCACGGGGGGTCACAGGGAGACATGGGGACACGGGGTCACGGGGACGGGGTCACAGGGAGACATCGGGTCACGGGGTCAACGGCACGCGTATCCTCGGGGTCACGGGGGGTCACAGGGAGACATGGGGACATGGGGTCACGGACTCATAGGGAGACACGGGGTCACGGGGTCATGGGGACACGGGGAGATAAGGGGACGTGGGGACACGGAGACACGGGTACACTGGGTCCGGGGTGCACGGCGTCACGGGGAGACGTGGGGACACGGGGTCATAGGGGCACGAGTACACGTGGTGACGTGGGAACATGGAGACACGGGGAGACACGGGGTGAGACACGGGGTGACACGGAGTGAGACACGGGGTGAGACACGGGGAGAGACACGGGGAGAGACACGGGGAGACACGGGCTCACACACGGGGAGACACACGGGGAGACACACGGGGAGACACGGGGTGAGACACGGGGTGAGACACGGGGTGAGACACGGGGTGAGACACGGGGTGAGACACGGGGTGAGACACGGGGTGAGACACGGGGTGAGACACGGGGTGAGACACGGGGTGAGACACGGGGAGACACGGGCTCACACACGGGGAGACACTGGGAGACACACGGGGAGACACGGGCTCACACACGGGGAGACACGGAGATATGCGGGGAGTCGCCGTGTGCTTGGCGATGGAGAGACGCGGAGACACGTGTCGGAGACAATGAGACACATGGGGAGATGCGGGCAGACAGAGAGACACGGGTAGACAGAGAGACACAGGTAGACAGGGAGACAGGGGGGGAGACACGGGGAAACACGGGGGTAGATACGGGATGGGGGGGGGGGGCACGGGGGGGTGGGGGAGACACGGGGTGAGGCACGGGATGGAGACATGGGGGGAGACACGGGGTGAGACACGGGGGGGTGAGACACGGGATGGAGACACGGGGGGTGAGACACACGGGGGGTGAGACACGGGGTTGTCGCTGTGACCTTGACGAGCGCGCTGCGCTGCGCTAGACGTGTGCGTGGTGATGGAGCTGCTGGGCGCCCACCTGCTGCGCTGGATCGCTCGCTCGCACTACCACGGCCTGCCGCTCGCCTGCGTGCGCGCCATCACCACGCAGGTACACGCCATCGTCACCATCATCGTCACCATCATCGTCACCATCATCGTCACCGCCGTCACCATCGTCATCATCATCAACACCACCATCACCGCCATCACCACGCAGGTACACGCCACCATCACCACCATCGTCACCATCATCACCATCGTCACCATCGTCACCATCATCACCATCACCACCATCGTCACCATCACCGCCATCACCACGCAGGTACGCGCCACCATCGTCACCATCAACACCACCATCACTGCCATCACCATCGCCACCATCACCGCCATCATCATCACCATCACCGCCATCACCATCGCCGCCATCACCACCATCGCCACCATCACCGCCATCACCACCATCATCACCATCACCACCATCATCACCATCACCGCCATCACAATCACTGCCATCACCACGCAGGTACACGCCATCGTCACCATCACCATCGCCATCGCCACCGCCATCACCATCATCACCATCATCACCATCATTACCATCACCGCCATCATCGCCATCGTCACCACCACCACCACCACCCAGGTACGCGCCATCACCGCCATCACCAATAAAGAGAAGAACAAAGACCCCCTGGATAGCCTCAAGAGACTTTTGGGGCAAGTGCTGTTGGTGAAGTTTGTTGGTGATCGTGATGGTGATGATGTTTGTTGATGGTGGTGTTTGTTGGTGATGGTGGTGTTTGTTGATGATGGTGGTGTTTGTAGGTGATGGTGTGGGGAGCGGTGGCCCAGCAGTTAGCCCTATGCTACCAACCCGGCGACCCGAGTTCGATATGATTATCTGAACCGGTCCTGGGCCTCCCCTAGGTCGACTCGGCCTCAAATGAGTACCTGGTGCGGTGTGTAGTAAACATCGCCACTGGGGAGACAAAGGCGGCCGGGCGTGGTGCTGGCCACCCACCCCCTCGTGTGCCGTGCCGGCCTTCATAGATGCTACTCGCTAACAGCAAACCTCCTGCCTCATGGCAGATGGGGGAGGGGCGTATGTACACAGGAATTTCCTATTTTTGATGCTAATTTTGGTCACGTGACCAGAAAGTTGTGATTTTAGATTTCCACTGAACCACGCGGGCGTCGGCCATTATGCACATAATTCAAGATGGCGGCACACATCGCGTCCCAGTGAAGCTACAGCCGTAATTGTCCATTGTGGGAGCTTAAGAAGCATTGTCTGTAAGTTCGTTTATGTTCTTATAATATTGGCAATGCTGTTATAATGTTAGAATGACCGTTATAAGGATGTAAATGCCTTTATAATGCTGTTAAATTGTTACGATAAATATGAGGCCTAGTTAACAACGAAGCCTGCAACTTTCCTTATTGTGAATGTTACTTGTAATTTAATAACTCGAGTCAAACTTGTACCCAACTAAACTATATTGCGATCTTGAGAGCAAGGATGACAAAATGTCTCATTCATAGTGCGGTGTTACATACAGTGCTGTACATCTGGGGTGCAGTGTGATGATAATGTAGGTGCCTGCCTCCTCCAGGATCTATTGTTTAGAAATATGTTATCTAAGACAATGTTATGGTGCTGTGGTATTCATTCATTGTGTTGGTGTTTTCGGGTTATAACAGATGCTGTATCTGTGTTTTCTCACCAGTTTTACCTCGTTAAACTCAATAAATGACGTTTTGGAGTCGGACGTTCATCCTGGCTCCGAGGTTTTTATTGAACGCGAGGTTAACTAATCAGCTAGCGGTGCAACGCAGCGCAGCGCACAGCGAGGCCGAGACAACTTGCCCCAACAGTCTGTTACAGGCTACACGGGGGATCTTTGTAGTTGTTGGTGATGGTGATTTTGGTGGTGATGATGATGTTTGTAGATGATGGTGGTGATGGTGATGTTTGTTGGTGATGGTGATGATAGTGATGGTGGTGATGGTGATTTTGGTGGTGATGTTTGTAGATGATGGTGGTGATGGTGATGTTTGTTGGTGATGGTGATGATAGTGATGGTGGTGATGGTGTTTGTTGTGGTGATGTCAGGTTCTGGAGGGGCTGGACTACCTTCACAGCCGCTGTGATGTCATCCACACCGACATCAAACCCGAGAACATCCTCCTGTGTGTGGGGAGCGAGGCCCCATCACCGCCACAGGCAAGCACCCCCATCACCACCATCACTACCATCACTACCACCTCCACCATCACCACCTCTACCATCACTACCATCACTACCATCACTACCATCACCGCCATCACTACCATCACTGCCATCACTGCCATCACCACCTCCACCATCACCACCATCACTCCCATCATCACCTCCACCATCACAACCATCACAACCACCACCCCCATCATTTCCATCACTCCCATCACCACCATCACCACTATCACTATCACCACCGTCAACAACATCACCATCAACCATCTCACCATCATCACCACCATTAACATCACCACCACCACCAAACAGCATCATCACCACCACCACTATCACCATCACCACTATTAACATCACCACCTCACCACCACCACCATCAACCACCTCACCATCATCACCACCTTTAACATCACCACCACCACCAAACAGCATCACCACCACCACCACCACCACCATCACCACTATTAACATCACCACCTCACCACCATCACCATCAACCACCTCACCATCATCACCACCTTTAACATCACCACCACCACCAAACAGCATCATCACCACCACCACTATCACCATCACCACTATTAACATCACCACCTCATCACCATCACCATCAACCACCTCACCATCATCACCACCATTAACATCACCACCACCACTATCACCATCACCACTATTAACATCACCACCACCACTATCACCATCACCACTATTAACATCACCACCACCACTATCACCATCACCACCATTAACATCACCACCACCACTATCACCATCACCACCATTAACATCACCACCACCACTATCACCATCACCACCATTAACATCACCACCACCACTATCACCATCACCACCATTAACATCACCACCACCACTATCACCATCACCACCATTAACATCACCACCACCACTATCACCATCACCACTATTAACATCACCACCACCACTATCACCATCACCACTATTAACATCACCACCACCACTATCACCATCACCACCATTAACATCACCACCACCACTATCACCATCACCACTATTAACATCACCACCACCACTATCACCATCACCACCATTAACATCACCACCACACTATCACCATCACCACCATTAACATCACCACCACCACTATCACCATCACCACTATTAACATCACCACCACCACTATCACCATCACCACTATTAACATCATCACCACCACTATCACCATCACCATCACCACCACCACCACCACCACCACAGCCGTCAGCACCCTGACCGGCGCTGTTTGTCTCTTCACAGGGAAGACTCCGCCTGGAGCTCCGGTCAGTCGCACTCCTCCCTGCTCCTTGCTGCTGCTGATGATGATGATGATTACACTGCTGATGATGATGATGATTACCGCTGCTGCTACTGCTGATGGTGATGATTACACTGCTGCTGATGATGATGATTACGCTGCTGCTGCTGATGATGATGATTACACTGCTGATGATGATGATGACACTGCTGATGATGATGACACTGATGCTGCTGCTGATGATGATGATGATGACACTGATGCTGATGATGATTACACTGTTGATGATGATGACACTGCTGTGATGATGATGATGATGACACTGCTGCTGCTGATGATGATGGACACTGCTGATGATGATGACACTGATGCTGCTGCTGATGATGATGACACTGATGCTGCTGATGACACTGCTGCTGCTGATGATGATTATGCTGCTGCTGATGATTACGCTGCTGCTGATGATGCAGTGCTGCTAATGATTATGATACTGCTGCTGATGACTGCTGCTGATGACTGCTGCTGATGATGATTACACTGCTGCTGATGATGATGGCTGATGATGATGACGCTGCTGCTGTTGACACTGTTGCTGCTGCTGATGATTACGCTGCTGCTGATGATGACAGTTCTACTGATGATGATGATGACACTGCTGCTGCTGCTGATGATGATGATGACTGCTGCTGCTGCTGCTGATGATGGTGACTGCTGCTGATGACTGCTGCTGCTGATGATGACTCTCTCTCTCGTGAAAAATCCACAAGAGAGATAGAGAGACACGCAAACGCCACATACACTGCAGCAGCAGGCGTCAGGGTCGGGATGGAACCCATGACCTCCTGTACACCAGGCGAGGTAGTGAACATCTGATGATGATGGTGGCACTGCCGATGATGACGGTGGCACTGCCGACGGCTCCCCCGGCAGGCGAAAGCCGCCAAGCCCCGCAAGCGCCGCCTCCTCTTGAGGCGCGAGGACCGCGAGGCGGCCATCTTGGAACGCCGCCGGGCCGAGGCCCTGTCCGAGAGGCTTCTCCTGACGGGCGCGGCCGGGCGCCTCCCGCGGAGCGACGCCGCCGACAACAACAACCGCGGCGGTGGCGACGCTGGGCAGCAACCGCACGGCCACGACCAGCACCACCGCAGCCACAGACATCGCTACCACGACGTGGAGCCGGCGCGGGAGCAGCAGCCGGACGGCGATCTCCAGCGCCAGCATCGCGAGCGGCAGCATCGTGATCAGTGTGTGGAGCAGCAGCAGCAGCAGCAGCAGCACAATCATCAACATCACGATCAGCAGCATCGTGATCAGTGTGTGGAGCAGCAGCAGCAGCAGCTTCATCTTCATCAGCAGCAGCATCCTCAACATCAACAGCAGCATCTCCATCATCTCCAGCAGCAGCAGCATCTCCATCATCTCCAGCAGCAGCAGCAGCAGCATCTCCATCCACAGCATCAGCCCCATCAACACCACCACCACCAGCAGCAGCAACAACATCAGCACGACCATCGTCACCACCATCACCACCATGCGCCGGGCGGCTCGCTGGCTTCGCCGTCGTCGACCTCGTCGGCGACGCCGCGCGTCCTCCGCAGAACCCCGGCGGCGTCGTCGTCGTCGTCATCGGCGGCGCCGCCGGTGACGCGCAGCCAGCCGGCGTGGCCCCCGGGGATGTCCAACTGGCGGAGTCACGTGACCCTGCTGCCGCCCCCGCCACCACAGCCGCAGGCGGACCCCTCTTCGCGCCTCTCCCGCCCGCGCCGGCCTCTGATTGGCCGCCTCTTCTCCTCCCAGCATTCCCTGGCGGCCGAAGGCGGCCGCGGCGGCTGCGGCGATGGTGAGCCGGGCTGCCGGGACAGCGGACAAAGACTGCGGTTGCCGCATTGTCGTCGCGCGGCACTTTCAGATGCGCCGCCTTTTCGGCCATCTGGAACGCTCTTCCGATATTAGGAAGCCGCTGGGAGCTGTGGCCACTTTTAAATCATCGTCTAGATCAGGGGCGGGGAACCTTTTTTCTGCCAAGGGCAATTTGGATATTTATATAACATCATTCGCGGGCCATACAAAATAACTAAAAAGTAGCCCGTTATATTTGGCCAAACATTTAATTAACTCACCCCTAATGCGATGGGCTGGAACTGCTTCTCTTTGGCGAGGCGTGTGATGATGTTAGCTGGTGTTGATGATGTTGCTGCTACTCGCAACTGCTTTTCCAGGTTTGCTCCTAGATTCGTTGAATTTCGAGTCCCGCCTGCGGTTGCCTTGGCAGGGCCACACCAAATGATTTTGCGGCCTCATACGGCCCGCGGGCCGGACGTTCCCCACCCCTGGTCTAGATTGACGGACTTGGGCGCCCCGATGGCGACATGTTGACTGCCTCGCCTGGTCGACAGGAGGCCGTGGGTCCCATCCCAATCCTGGCGCCTGCTACTACTGCTGCTGCTGCTGTATATGTGCGTGTCTCTCTCCCCGTGGTCGCGTGGATTTTTCTCCGGTCCCTCCGGTTTTCCCTCCATGGTTAGAATCAACTTTACGCGTTTTAGAGTATTTGGCTACTGCTACAAATGCCCACGTGATGATGATGGTGATGAGCCACTTCGTTGAGCTGTCAATCGTGGCCGGGTCATTTCTGAAACAGAGCTACACAGCTCAGTGGGGGCCTTGCACATGGTAAAATAAAAACTAAAATAGTTTTAAACGGTTCAACTTGTTGAAGCCGTGTCTTGGCTGAGAGCAATTGTGAATCTGAACTCCCTCCAATGTCTCAGCGTTGGAACCTAATTTGCCAGTAAAAAAATAATAATTGTTTTTTTACCCTTCTATCTGGCAACAAAACTGACACCTTTTTTTACAAGGAGTCATGTTTGCATAGACCACAATACCTGCAGTCATAATGAAACAAAAAACATAACTCTGATAATGTATGCACTGTCCTTGAAGTTGATGGGTCCACACCCGAGACAGCTTTCCTGTCTCAAGTGTGGTTCCCCACCCCCACCCAACCAAAAAAATAAAAAAAGGTGAGCGAGCCCTCCAGCAGCGGAACACGCGCGGGAAGCAACTCACAACAACCGGCGAGTCTTAGGGCATGTTTGTGCAGTGGGCCCGTCACAAGGGCCCGACCCAGTAGGGCCAGCGACAGGTGTTGAAAATGTAGGTGCACGGCCCTCCGGCTTCTCGGACGAGCCAGCGCCAACCCCCTCGGGGGAGGCTGGCGGCCGAGAGGGCGTCAGTCCTTGGGCCCTGAAGACGGAACAGTTAGCAGCGGATCAAAGGCTGGCGGCGAACCCGCCCTCCAGGAGTCAGTGGACCCCCCACATGTTCGGCCATAGTCATGAGAGGAAGCATGTGGCGCAAAGAACGGCTTCAACCGTGAAGGTTGTACGAACCACTGACGCTTCCCCCATTTAATGCGAACACATTGAGGCCGCATAACCTGCACAATTTCCATGGGGCCCCTCCATGGTCGCAACAAATTAGACGAGGTAGCCAATGGCACCTGGGGGCAGTGTAGCCACGCTCTGTCACCCGGGTGCCATTCATGCATGTGTGACCGGCGCGATCGCAACCTTTCATTCGCCTTCTGGCGAGAGTCAGAGTTTTGCGTAGCCGCCTCCCGTGCCTTAGCCAACTTGAGGATATTAAATCTAACATGGTCCGCCAACTTGGACCTTAGCGTGTGGTGTGGCAATTTTCAGCTGGGTCGCGACAGGCGGGTCAACTTCGCGGCCATACATTTAAAAAAATGGCGAGAATCCGGTCGCCGCATGAGGAGCCATCCTGTAAGCTGCCAGAACTCCCGGGATCTGAAGGTCCCAATCGGTTTGGGACTCAGATAACCTGGTGGGACAGCATGGACGTAAGAGTCCTATGCAGGCGTTCTACCATCCCATCCGTTTGTGGGTAGTAAGGGGAAGTACGGATTTTCTTCGTACCAAGAAGCTCACACACCTCGTGTAAAGGGAACTAGTGAAATTCTTTCCCTGATCGGTCAACAACCGTTCCGGAGCGCCCTTGTCGAGGTCATAGCTCTGGACAAAAGCCTCCACAACGGCTGCTGCCGACTGGTTGGCGAGGGGCCAAGCCATAGGCCATCGCGTGAAATATTCCACGCCAACCAGTAGGTACTTATTACCCCTAGGCGTGGAAGGAAACGGCCCCAAAATATCAAGAGCGACAAGCTCATTAACCCGGGTGACCGAAATAGACTGGAGCGGTGGGCTGGCTCCCCTTGCTGGCGGCTTCCGTTGAGCACACTGGGTACAAGACTGCAACAGATCGTCCACATCCCTTGCCATGCCCGGCCAAAAGAAATTAAGCTGGAGCATGGCAAGGGTTTTGTGGGTGCCCAGGTGCAGGAGCTGCTCATGAGCAGCCCATACAGCCCTACCCCTCAACGTGGAAGGCACCACCAACCTGTGGCGGTGGATCGTTCCGTCCCAATGCATGAGGAGGCCCTGGCACAACCCCCATGAGTCAACGCCCAACGTCCCCTGACTGGATCCTTCCACGTGACGCCGTAGCGCCAGGAGGGACGTATCCTCCATTTGGAGGCGCCCCCACTCTGCACCTGACAAACCCCAGTAGGGAATCCTTCCCTCCCATATCAATAGGGCCAACGCCCGAAGGAGCCTCAACGACGGCCGCAAGGACCCGATTCTGGCCGTCGCTCGCCGACTTGCAACGCCCCGAGCCCAAGAAACAAGTGCAATCCGAAGTGACCGGCAGGCGCGACAGGGCATCGGCATTAGTGTGGCGAATCCCCTTGCGATATGTTGTTTCGAAATCGAAATCCTGAATGATCTCCAGCCATCGGGACAACTGCCCCGATGGCTGGTGAATACGCAGGCATACTGCAATGCCGCATGATCTGTACGGACGGTGAAATGCCGGCCGTACAGATATGGCCGGTACTGTTGAATAAAGAAAACAATAGCCATCAGTTCACGGCGGGTGAACACGGTATCTTTGCTCGGCAGGAGACAATACTCTTACTACCGTAAGCCACAACGTGCTCCACGCACCCACAGCTTGGGAAAGCACGCCCCCAATCCCCGTGTTGCTCGCGTCCGTGTCGAGCACGAAAGGTAGAGAAAAATCGGGGTAACTCAACGGCGGGGCCCCCACCAAGGCGTCACGAAGAGAGTTAAAGGTGGCCTCCTCTTCCGGCCCCCAATGAAATTTCACCCCCTTTGCCGTTAAGGCATGTAATGGCTTAGCGATGGAAGCGAACTCCGCCGCGACAAACCGCCGGTAATATGAAGCAAAACCGATGAAGCTCCTAACCTCCCCACCGAGGTGGGAGTCGGCCAGGAGCTGACAACGCGTTTTGGCGGGATCGGTTGAGATACCTGACCGTCTGACGATGTGACCCAAATATCGTACAGATTCGTGTAGCAAATGGCACTTTTGTGGTTTGAATTTCAAATTAGCTGCGCACATTTTGAGAAAGACCGCCCGAAGCTTATCAAGATGTTCCTCAAATGTCTTACTAAATACGATCACGTCGTCTAGGTAAATCAAACATACCTCCCATTGCAAGCCAGCGAGAACCAATTCCATCAGGCGCTGGAACGTTGCGGGAGCGGAGTGGAGCCCCATAGGCAACCGATTGAATTGGAAGAGGCCGTGCGGCGTTCGAAAAGCTGTTTTGGGCTTCGATTCGTCATCCAAAGGAAGTTGCCAAAACCCTGACAGCAAATCTAAGGTGGAGAAGAATCGTGATCCAGCTAGGGCCTCCAGAGATTCGTCCATTCGAGGAAGCGGGTAAGCATCGGCCACCGAGATTTTATTCAACCGCCGAAAATCAACGCAGAACCTTAGGGACCCATCGTGCTTTTAAACCAATACTATGGGTGCACCCCAAGGGCTGGTCGAGGGGAGAAATAATGTCAGAAGCCAACATGTCATCTACAGCCGATTTGACATGATCATTTTCGGCGGGACTTAACCGAAAAGGATTTTGGCGGATAGGAGCGTTGTCACCGGTGTCAATATGGTGGCGCAGCAATTTTGTACATCCGATATCAAATTTGTGCTTACTAAAGACGTTGGAAATTCTCGCAAAAGGGTACACAATTTAGCAAGTATGAGTCGGATAGGTCAGGTGTCTCAGCACAAAGCGCCTCCAGCCAACCCTCGTCATGGTCGACTGCAGTCGCGGCTGAGAAGCGGTGGCCACCTGGCACATGATCGGCGTTTCCGCAGGTCCCGGAATCGCATGTGCGAACACGGTTCCTGGGAAACCACCGCCGTCCGTGTCCCGACATGAGGACCGCGATAAACGGGCCTCATCCCTTAACAAAGTTTGGGCCGTCACCAAATCTGGCCCATTCACCGGCCCTAGACGGGCCCCAGCAAAATGCCGGGTCTGGACTCCTTTAGCGAACGGTCGACAAACCGCAGGGGCACGAGCATCTGTGCCCCGGGGGTACGCGACCGTTCGAGCAACGAGCGCCTGTACTGTGTACAGGCTGTACGCAAAG